AGAGAGAGAGAGAGAGAGAGAGAGAGAGAGAGAGAGAGGGAGAGAGAGAATGAAATTTAATGTCAAATCATGATCCATAGCTTAGGGAAGGAAAAACTCTACAGAAGTAGGACTGAGAAAGACTAGTTGTCCGATCTGTGAACAATTCTGAGTAGATAAGAAGCAGAAAAAGTTAAACTATTATGACTCCTCTTTCAAAAATAAGTACATTTTCACATGGAACATTCATTTATATTTATGATGCACTACTTAGAGTGACTTTTTACTTTAAAACAAATTCTTCTTTAGCAACTACTTATCACATACATTACAAAACTGATCTAGAAACAAGACTATTCTAATGGTAGACAACAATTCAGAACTCTCTGGATTTATAGAATTGTTCTTTAAAAAGCAGTTGTGGGGCCTGGGGATCTAGCTCAGTTGTGCTGCCGCCTGCCTCACAAGTGCAAGGTTCTGAGTTTGATCTCTGGTAAGAAAAAGAAAAGAAAAGAAACAAACAGTTGTGGTACTGGAGGTGTGGTTTAGAGGTAGATGAGTGCTTAGCACTTAGCATGTGTAAGGCTCTGGGTTTAATTAGCAGCACCCCAAAAAAAATTTTATATATATATATATATATAAAACGAGTTGTATATGTTGAAACCTTATGTCTAGTTGAACATTTGAGGAACTGTTTAAAATATAAACTAAATGCATAGCAAAGCCAGCCCTTTCTATACATGAGCCAACACTGCTGTCACCGCTCAACTGACAAAGCTGAATATACTCAACCTACTGAGTTCTCTTATATCACTGATTTGTCTGTAGCTAATTAGATCACGCACCTCTATCTTTAAGAATGCTTTTCTACTTCTAATTAGAAAGTAGTATATGTTTGCCTCGAAAACATTACCCAAATTACCAGGAATTCTATCACCCCAAATAATTCCTAACAGTCTGGTTTTTCCATGCCTACCCTTTTGTATGCTCATAGGTAAAAATACACTTTAAAAAAAGGATCATATTTAATATATTCTACCCTTTCAAAAAGATACTTGTTCTGATCAGGAGATATGGCTTGGTGGTAGAAGTGCCTCTCTCTCTCTGTCTCCCACACACACAATATTGTTTATCATACATTTCCTTGTGGTTTTTTTCTTTTAAAAGCATTAATTTTAAATGATCCATGGGATGCTGAAGTGCATAGAATATTTTCTTCTCGATATATAGATATACCCTACTAATTTCATTTGTAGGTTTAGATGAAATTTTAATTTCCAGATACAAGTGTCCAAAATATTCCTAATATTTTAGACTTACTTCTTCCAAGGCCTCCAGCATCAGCACGAACTTCACTCACCCTTCTAGGAGTCAAAGGGGAGCCAGCAATACAAATTTCATCTGCTCTTTCCAAGTTCTGAGGTGGCATGACCTATAAATAATTATTTACATAAAATGGCAATTTCCAAAAAAGCATTTTCATTAGAAATACAATAATAATCTAAGGTAAAAGAAAACTACCTTGGCTCATTAGAAACTCTGCCTTAATAAAATCAGCTGTCATTTCCATTTTCATCTGACAACTAACAAAAATTTTTTTTAAAATTCCAATACTGATAATCCGATTCTAAATATGTATCAACCTTCATTACTTATTTGACAAGTTAGAATAGTAACCAATCTAAGGAACAGAAACTTGATCAGGAAATAAAGAAAAAACATTGGATTTTTACTGCCACTGCAATGTTGGAACATTTACAAATTACCTCTAGCCCTTGTTTTCTCTTTGATCAAGAGGTACAACATTAAACCCAACTGTCAATCTTCTACCCCGTTAGAAGACACTAAGTTTAACTGCTATCTGTTAAAAGGGATTATGAATGGAATTTATATTGATATACTATTCTTACAGAAAGATGTTAAGATATTTTCACAAACCTCTTCACATGTAGGAACTCTGTTGTCATTATCTCTAATTTTATCCCAGAGTGGGGACTCTAGTTTCCATGCCAAATGATCTAAGATCTGTTCTTCAATCTGATTAAGGTGTTTTACTACCTCTCTACAAAGCCCATCTTCTGCTCTAATAAATACTTCTATTACCTGAAATTTAAAAAAAATTAATTATAATTTAATTATATAAATTTAATTATAATATGATTTTTTACAGAAAAAAATTAGCAAGTGTAAAAGCAAAATGAATAAATACATCTATTTAATTTAAAAATATTTAAACAGTTTATTCAAATATAATTCAGTACTATTTAGAAATAGCTGCTTTCCTTTTACCATCTTTATATTTAGCTTATATATACGAACATAAAATATGCAGTGATATTTAAAAAAATATAATGAGTATGAAAATAGTACTCTTAGGGCTGGGGATTTAGCTCAGTGGCACCATACCTGCCTTGCAAGTGTGAGTTTGATCCCCAGTACCAGGAAAAAAAAAGAAAAAACAGTACTCCTAAATTTTATATATA